AGAGGAGAGGAGAGGAGAGGAGAGGAGGAGAGGAGAGGAGAGGAGAGGAGAGGAGAGGAGAGGAGGAGAGGAGAGGAGAGGAGAGGAGAGGAGAGGAGAGGAGAGGAGAGGAGAGGAGAGGAGAGGAGAGGAGGGAGAGAGGAGAGGAGAAGAGAGGAGAGGCAGGATTCAGCCATATGCAGTTGTCAACACCGCGTTGTGGCACAGATTTCGGTGGGGCTCCCGATGGGGCAGCGAAACGTGTGAGGGGTGTGCTGAAATGGGCGGGGAACCGTATGCGAACCTTGCCACTGAGGCACACAGTGGAGCCCCCTTCTTGGGCCACGAAACGTGTGAGGAGTGTGCCGAAATGTGCGGCGGAACTGCATGCAAACGCAGCCACTGCAGCCAGTGGGGCCTCCAGTGGAGCTCCCTATGGGGCCACGAAACGTGTGAGGGGTGTGCCGAAATGGAAGGCGGAACTGCATGCGAACGCAGCCATTGGGTGTAATTTTTGTTTCATGACGTCGCAAGGCGCGCAGCGCGCCCCCTTCTGCCGTTGCGAATTGCGGCGGACACCGGGCTCACTTGACCTGGCGCTAGGGGCAGGCAAACGGCCAAGCCTCGACAGGCTGCCCGACGCAGGCTCGCCAGGCGCCTGTACGCGAGGGGCTCAGGGGAAGACGAGCCTCACGCACAGGCGTCCGACCAGGAGAGCGGCCTTCCGCTCTTGGGGCTCACTCCCCTCATGACCATGTTGGCGTTCCGCCACCTGCTCCGTTCAGCCTCCTTGGTCTTGGCCTTCTCGCAGGTCGTCCGGAGGCCGCAGTGCTTGCCCCTGATCTCCTTGGCATACTGCCCGCACCTCCAGCACACCCTGCGGCCGTTGAAGGTGCGCAGCTGGTGGCCCCTCCTTCCCCGTGCCTCTGCGTAGGGCGCCTGGCCCGCTCCTGGCACGGTCGCGCCCTACATTGGCGGAACCCATCGGCCCGAGTTCCAGGGCTGGCTGCGCGTCACCAGCACCGCCAGGCAGGACATGTACACCAGGGTCCGCCGAGCTCATGTCGAATTCGGCCTCGTCGTTTTCCGCTGGAACTGGCACCTCCTCGTCGTGCCCAGACCGATGGCGCTCCAGCCAGTGGGTCACCTGGGGGCCACTGACGTCGCCCTTCGCCATGACAAACTCGTGCTTGGAGGGGTCGAGCCTCGGAACGGCGTCTGCATCTGGCGGCGCGGCATCATCGTGATCTGCGCCTCCTTCCGCAGCAGCCACGGTGTCAGCCAGCGCCGGCATGGCAACTGCGGCTGCCACCACCGCTGCGGCTGCGCCTCTGGCTAACCCCGCAGCCCCGCGGCCGCCGCTGGCTTCAGAGCTGTCGGTGTAGAACGAGCTGTTCTCTGTGGAAGTATTCCCCTCCAGCAGGATCGCATCGAATCGAATCGATCTATTCGATCTACCCAGGGGGCCCGCTCGTTGGGACCAGGGCCCTCTCGACAGGCTCGACCACACCTGGTCAGTCGCCTGCGCCTTGGCGGCAGCCAGCTGGCTGTGGCCTCGGGGCTCGGCCTTTGCCGCGTCCACGGGCTCATGGGCAACGCCCCCCTGAGGATCGCGCTGGCCGTCCGCGCATCAGCTAGAAGCTGCTCCTCGTCCTGGCGTGCGTCGCCCACGAGGCTCTGCACCCTCTGCCAGCGTGGGGTGCGGTCGCCCCCAGCTCGCTGCCGCGCGCTCTCGCAGGTCTCCTCGGCCAGGCGCCTGCTCTCACTGACCGCCAGGGCGCCCCACAGTCCGCTGAAGAGGCCATCCATCTCGTCAGACTGGAGCGTTGCTGTGACGCATGCCCTGCAGTCCAGCATCCAGTGTCGGCGCGCCAGCTCCTCGCCGACTGGCCCGAGGTGCACACCCCACCTCGCGAGCGTGACCATGCGGTCCTCGGACTCGCGCGCTCTGGCAGTAGCCCACAGCCCTCGCCCGACCTCGTGGCACGGCACGGGCCTGCGCCGTGCCTCCTCGGCCCAGGGCCCGCACGCCTGGCCTCCTCGGCGACCCGGCACCTTGAACCTCGGGTTCTCCATGCCTTGCAAGTTGTGCGCGTCCGCGGGGCTCCTGGTCGAAGTCCCATCCCATGATGATGGGCTTGCCGAACTGCCTGGACGCGGCGTCGGCCTTCTGCAAGATCGCCAGCAGCGTGTACAGCTCGGCGCCGTCTATTGTCGTCCGGAACGGGCCAGGCAGGGCGGCCCCGAGTGCCCCGAGCGTGATCTTACCGTTCTCTACGTCCTTGAGCGTGCCGTGACCCTTAGCCTTCAGCACCGTGATGCCCACCTCCTCCCAGTTGCCGATGGCGCCATTGTGATGGGGCCAGCGGTCAGGACCACCTTGCTCCAAATGGCGTGTCTGATGGTAGCTCGCTCCTGGTCGGGTTGGGCATGATCAGCGGCTCGATGGCATGGCGCCGAGCAGCAAAAGCGCTCATGTGTCTTACCGCTGCTCTGTCCCAGCCCTCATCCCTCAGCGCCTCCATGACGACTATGTTCCTGCTGCGTGTCTGCGCGGTCCTTCCCAGACAGCTTCGCGGGTGTCCCATGCCCGAATCCACATTGGCTCGGGGAGCGACACTGGATGTGGGGGGGGGCCCGCGCGAACGCGCGGATGAGGAACGGCCGCTCCAAGAGCACGGCCAAAAATTGGACGCACCAGTCGATCCAATCGTCGATGTCCTGCCAGACTTCACCTTCTGTCATAAAGAACCACTCCCAGCGTGGCCCTCGAAGTGTCCAACGACGCGCTATGCCTGTTGAGCACCGGCACGAGGGTGCCCATGCGGGGGAGGCGTGCCCATGCATTGCCGAACTGGTGGCGGCCCGCCGCCCAGCTTGCCGAACTCGTGCAGCGCACCATAGATCCTCCTCCACCCCGCTGCCTAAGCGGCCGTGTGGGAGGTCGTCGCCGCTCGGCCCCCTTCCAGCAGCCCCTTAACCACGTAGTCCGTGTCGAAGTGCGCCGTGATCGGTGCCACCAAATGCTTCAGCGCCGTGCCGCCGAAGCTTGAGATCCCCTTGCTGACCTCGTTGCCGAAAGCTGGCTCGACACGTCGACCTCCAGAGGGCCGGCCCTGCAGATGAGTGCAGTCCGTCGTCTCCCGCTGCAGGGCCTGACCAAAGTCGGAAACTGGAACATATACATTACCAGTGGCGGGCCGTTCTTCAACCGCAGGGCTTTTTGAGGGTCGGGGACGACGTCGGGGTGGTGTGGTGTATACTGTTTTCCAACTCCCCAGGGAACATCGAAAAATCTATGCACCAGGATCCCGTCTACACGAGGATCCGCTTTCCTGTGCAAGTGTCAGCGCAGGGCCAGAAAAAGCGTCAGTGTATGGAGTTCGTTCCCCCACAAAGCTCCCCCTTCCGAAGCAGGTCTTGACAGCAGGGGCCCGCACCGAGGCTGCTCCCCCTCCGTGTCGGCGTGGGGCGGGCCGCGCGAGGCATCGGCGAGGCGGGCCTCCCCCGGCGGAGCCCCTCGGCCCGATTTCCAGGGCGGGTTGCGCGTCACCACCGTGGGCGGACCGAAAGTGCCCACGCGTGTCTCGCCAAGACCCTCAGTCATCAGAGCACGTCGGACCAGAATGAATGTTCAAAGTTGACGGGTTTGGGAGGTCGGCCAAAGGCCAGGGACAAAATGTGTACGCTTCAAGTTTGGGTTGGGGGGGAAGGGATGCGAAGTAAGAGCATTGCGCAGTTGTCGTTGTTATAATGTTGCATCGCCTTACCGCAAGGGGTGTGGGCACTTGTGCCCGGACACCGCAGCACCGCCTGTTCACCTCCGTGTCCTTGATTGGCGGAAGCGGGTTGCGCGTCACCAGCACCGCCAGGCAGGACATGCATTTCCGCCAGGCCCTCGACTGGAGCCTTGCTCGCTCTTTGCGCGGGGGCCATGCGGGAGGCGGCTGTCCCTGCCTCTGCGGGTCGTTGATCCACCTTCTTAACGCCTTAACTCCTTGTGCTCGCCGTTGTGGATCATGGCCACCGCCCGAGCTTGTTGGCAGCTGAGCGAGTTGACCCAGGCCAAGTACCTCCTGCGGCTCGGCCCGCCCCGCCGCCAAGCGCGGGCGCAGATCTCCGTCGCGAGCTGCTCCGTGATGAGGCGCGTGAGCACCATGACCCAGTCGAAGCGCGCGTGCTAGAGCATCTCCGACACGTAGGGCTCGCACCAGTGCTCCACTCGTGGTTTGCGACGGGCTCCTCGCCGAGCCCCAGGTGTAGCGCCCTATGCGCCCACGAAACGTGTGAGTGGTGCGCCGAGATGGGGATGGAACCGCATGCGAGCCCTGCCACTGCGGCTTTCGGTGGAGCTCGCTAATGGGGCACGAAAGGTGTGAGGGGTGTGCAGAAATAAGGGTGAAACCGCATGCGAACCCTGCCACTGGGACATTCGGTGGAGCTCCATATGGGGCCACGAAACGTGCGAGGGGTGTGCCGAGATAGGGGGCGGAACTGCATGCGAACGCAGCCATTGGGGCCGTCAGTGGAACTCCCTATGGAGCCACGAAGCGTGCGAGGGGTGCGCCGAGATGGCAGTGGGATTGCATGCGAACCCAGCTATTGGGGCCTCAGGTGGAGCTCCCGATGGAGCCACGAAACGCGTGAGAGGTGCGCCGAAATTGACATGCGGAGGGCAGAGGCAGGGATGGGAGGAGGGGCAGCGGGAGGAGGAGGAGGAGGAGGAGGAGGAGGAGGAGGAGGAAGAGGAGGAGGAGGAGGGGGAGGAGGAGGAGGAGGAGGAGGAAGAGGAGGAGGAGGAGGTGGGACGCATGGCGCTGTCTCTGCATAACGAGGACCCAGCACCACAGGATGGTTGGGAAAAATATCAGAAAGATTCTGCAGTACAAATAGATATGTGACACGGCTGCCCGGGCTTCGCTGTTCCGATTCGAGGCAGCGTCGTCACCAGTTGTTCTGGAGGCACGTCCGCTGTAGAGATCCATAGCTTTGCGCAGCAGTATCAATGCTGGCCTCCCCAGGAGGCCTTGCTCACATTGAGGGAGCTGGTCGGTGCCGCGGCGCAGGAGGAGGCGCGGCAGCTCGAGGTGAGCCTGGACATAGAGCTAAAGGCTCCCGCCCGAGCGGCCAGGTAAAAGTGGCGGAGGAGGAGGAGGAGAGCAGGAAGAGGAGGACAATGGTTTCGGAGTGCAGCCAGCAGCACAACCGCATACGTCGTCATAGCTCGTTCAAATCAGGCGCCGAGCGGCGAGACACTTGTGCTCGAGAGGTGTGTCCCACACGGGGCTAAGGCTTGGGCACAACACTCTTGCACGGTTTTCGAGAAAGTATTGAATGAAGCGGACGCGGTGGTTGGTAACGGAGTGTAGCGTTGCAGTGGTACCAGCCCTTGATGGGCCAGGCACTTGAAAGCACGCAATTGTGTCTGCATTTGAAAATCTAGGGCGTTGCGATACCTTGCAGCAGCCACGAGAGCGATGGCAACAAGTGAGGAGCATGTAGATATGCTCCCCCACTGGCACCGGGTTTCTTGACCGCCCACCCCTTCCCTCCCCGCAAAGCGCCCGCGACGAAGGTTACCCGTCCAAAGCACGCACGGGCCAACAGAAGCACCCGTACTTGACGCCACGCTGGTAGCAAGACGGCAGGCCTCAGGAGGGGCCCTCGTGCTCAAGAAGCTTCAAAAGGCCCCAAACAGAGCCCCAACGGGGCCCCAAGAGCACCCCAAAAGAGTCCCCCCCAAAAAAAGAGTTCCAAAAGAGTCCCAAGAGGTCCCCGCCAACCCTCAGATCCGAGGGCCCGCTCAAGAAGGATTTTCGCATGTGCCTCGTACTTCCCTCCGCGGTTGGCCAGAGCGACCACGCCAGGTTGCCAGCCACACCCAGTCGGGAGGCAAGGGGAGAGGTGTTGCGACGGGGGGTGACCCAAGAGGGGCGTTGGACGAGGAAGCGCTCCAGATCGCCCAGGTCCTGAGGGCTTAGGCAGGACTACCGAAGATGAGCTCCGACCAGAGGTAAGCAGCGGGGGAGGTGTCGACAGGCAAGCGCGAAAGCAGTGCCAAAAGGGACGTGCCACGAGCCTCTCAGGGAAGGGGGGGCACCCTGGGAGAAAGGGTAAGGAGCGGCTGCAGAGACGGCTCGGCCCTCTGCCTGGCAGGGAATCGCAGCCATGACGGTGCGCGACTGCGGGGGGGGGGGGGGGCAGTGGCAGACGAGCCGACCCCTGCAGGCCCCACCACGCAGTCGAGGGCCGGCGTGGGGCCGACCCGGGTCGGCCGTCACAGATCCGACGGCTGCTGGCTTCCGAGGTGCCCCCTCAGCGCCACGGCCGGACGCAGCTCGGAGAACTGGAGCGCTCGGACCCCGGAAGCCGTCGGGGGACCACGCTCGAGCTGTTGCGGTCTCGTGTCGTCCTGCTCGGAGCAGGCTCTGTGGCTGGAGCCACTCGCAGCTCCAGCCGAGCGAGTTGTGCGCAGCGTTTTCGGTGCGGCGCTGCGGGCAGGCAGTGGTCGACAGGTTCATCGTGGCGCCGTTGATCGGTCTAGTCATCGTTTCTACAGCTCCAGCAGCTGAGGTAGGGATTTCATAGTAACTGATGACTGGCTTGTTGGGCGCCCACGGTCACGCAGGCACACAAAATGTCACGGAAGCAGTTCTGTCGATGGATGCCTCCGTAGCCGTTTTGCTTCGAGTCGCCCAGACCGCCCGCGTGAGGATCGAAGCCCCGCTCACCCGACAGGCCGTTTCCGCCACTGCCCGGCGACAGTCTCGCGGTGTCCACGAGATGTGGCGAACGGCGCCGCGCGGTCGATTCGTTCGACCGCTCCGTCAGCGAGATGCGGCGTGCGCCAGGAGCGACATCGCGGTGGCAAGTGCGGAGTTCGGTCATGAACAACCTGGCGTCTGCTGGAGACGCAGAGGGTGCGATTACGATATTCGATGAGATCTTGGGAGAGGCTCCGCCAGCGAGCCGCACTATGCATTTCAACACGGTCCTGAAGGCCTACGCCAATGCGGGCGATTCCATGGGAGCCGCCGCATGGTACCGCCGGATGGAGTCCAGCCGCGTCCGCATAAATTCGAAGACGTTCGGCAAGTTGATGGAGTCCGCAGCGAAGGCAGGCCGCCTGGAGGATGCAGTGCATTGGCTTGGCATCTTGACAAGCACCGAAGGCATGGTTGCGAACGCCTCCTCATTCAACACGGTGATCGACGCGTGCGCGAAGGCCTCTGAGCCACACGCAGCAGCGGCTTGGCTGACTCACATGCGGGGCGCGCGCATTGATCCCGACGTGATCTCGTACAATTCTACTATTAGCAGCTGGTCAGCTGCAGGCTGCGTTGCGGAGGCCGAGGGCATGCTGAGCGAGATGCTCAAAGTTCGAGTGGAGGCCAGCGGCATATCTTACAACGCAGTGATCCATGGGTGCGCTAGGAGCAGGCAGCACGACAAGGCGGTGGCGTGGATGGTCGACATGTCCCGCGCGGCGCTGACCCCAGACCGCATCACATTCACAGCGGT